AGTGTGTGCGTGTGTGTGTCTGGGGACAGAGCCCTGGACTTAAAATCTGAAAACCCAATTTCAAGTTCTGGCAATGCTGCTTACAGATTAGCTGACCTTTAGCAAGTCTCTTAACCTCTCTGATACTTCACATCAGAGAAAGAGAGGGGGAGAAACATCAAGGTGTGTTTGCCTCTTTCATGCCACCCACTGCGGACCTGGCCCGCAGCCCAGGCATGTGCCCTGACTAGCAATCAAACCAGAGACCCTTCAGTTCACCGGCCAACACTCAATCCACTGAGCCACACCAGCCAGGGCTATTTTGTACATTAAAAAAAATCCTTACTCAAGGACTTTTTTTTTTTCATTGCTTTGAGAAAGGGGGGAAGGGAAAGAGAGAAACATCGATGTGAGAGAGAAGCATTGATCGGCTGTCTCCCATATGTGCCCAGACCAGGAAGAAATCCCACAACCTTTTGATTTATGGGACGACACTCTGACCAACTGAGCCACACTGACTAGGGAGGCTGTTGTCATTTTTTATTTGACAGTCTAAGGGAAAAGAGGCCAGTGCTCCTGACTCAATAGTCAGCTACTGCATGTTTTTAAAAAATGCTTACTTATTGCCCTGGCTCATGTGGCTCAGTGGACTGAGTGCTGGCCTGTGAACCAAAGGGTCACTGGTTTGATTCCCAGTCAGGGCACATGCCTGGGTTGCCGGCCAGGTTCCCAGTGGGGGCATGTGAGAGGCAACCACACCTTGATGTTTCTTTCCCTCTTTTTCTCCCTCCCTTCCCCTCTCTCTGAAAATAAATACATAAAACTATTTATTAATATTGAGAGAGACAGAGAAATAGAAACAGGGAAAGAGAGAGAGAGAGAAACATCAATTTGCTGTTACACTTATTGAGGCATTCATTGGTTGATTCTTGTAAGTGCCCTAACTGGGGATTGAACCCTCAACCTTGGGGCATCAAGACCACACTCTAACCAACTGAGCTACCTTGCCAGGGCTATTGCATGTTTTAGAAATTCTTGGGCCACATGAGTGCACCTCTTGCAGCAGGCACACGGGCTAGAAATTGCTGTCTTAGACTGTAAACTCCAAGAGGGTAGGAACTCTTGCAGCCTAATTAATCTTTGATGGTATCTGAAACCATATGTGGCATAGTAAATATGTGATGAATAAAAAATATATTTATCTGTAATTCAGACATTCTGTAAGCACACTGAATTTTCTCTTCCCAGTTTCCATCTTTTAGTTTTCTGAATTATGACAAAAAGGGAAAATATAACATTTTGTTGAGTCCCGATGTGTCAGTGATTGTGAGGAATAGGTATACATATACATATACAAATAATTATAGATATAGATGTAGTTATAGATATGATAGTTATAGATACAAATAATGATAGTAGATATCAGCATAGTTATAGTTGTAAAAATCATACTTACAAAGAGAGATATACATGTAGATAGAGATGGACATATAAGTATAGGTATCTTAGACTTTCAGTCTTCTTAACACACTGAAATTATGTTCTTAACTTGTTAATGCAGAAGGCGGACATTGCAGGTGCCCATGCTCAGGCATTTATCCCTGTTCCTTTTCATTAGACTTTAATTCCAAAGATCAGGCAGCCATTTCTTTTTCTGAAGCCTAATCATTCAGTGAGAGTTTCCCCGGAGAGAGTTTATTAACAGTAACTCCCATATCTGAAGTACTCATCTGTGCTGAGTCTGTGCTTTCGTACTTTATACAGGATGTTTGTCATTTATTAACTACCACAACTTTAGGAAACTGGTGTTGCTAATATTTCCATAGTTTAGAGAGAGGTTAAGAAATTTGCCTACGCCCTGGCCAGGTGGCTCAGTTGGTTGGAGCATTGTTCTGTACACCAAAAGTTCTCTGATTTGATCCCTAGTTGGAGTGGGTCCAGGAGGTGACCAATTGATGTTTCTTTCACACATCGATGTTCCTTTCTCTTTTTCTCGCTCTCTCTCTCCCCCCTCCAGCCATCATCCTCTCTCTAAAATCAACAAATATACCCTAGGAGGATAAAGAAGGAAGGAAGGGAGGGAGGGAGAGACGGAGGGAGAAAAAGAAGGAAAGAAATAAATTTACCTAAAGCTGTGTTATCGAGTAAAGAGGCTGCAATTTGAACCTTGCTGTTTGGCTCCTAAAGGGCATGCTCTCAGCTACACAAACTGGATGCTTGTGGTGTTTGGCCCATTCATATGATGAAGATTAGATTAGAATTTCAAACATATTAGTAAGATAATGCCTAAGTAATTTCTTTTTTATTTGATTAAAAGAGGTACATTAGTCTTTTCGGGCTGCCAGATAAAGGCCACAGACTGGGGGACTTAAGCATCAGAAATTTATTTTCTCACAGTTCTGGAGGCAAGAAGTCTGAGATCGAGGTGTCAGCAGGGTTGGTCTCTCCAGAGGTTCAGCTCCTTGGCTTGAAGATGGCCGTCTTTATGTTCACATAGCATTCTCCCTCTGTGTGTGCCTGTGCCCTAATCTCTTCTTATAAGGACATCAGTCATACTGGATTGGGGTCCATCTAATGACATCAGTTTAACTTAATTACCTCTTTAAAGATTCTTCTTCCAAATACAATCTCATTCCGAAGTACTGGGGGTTAGGACTTGAACAAATAGATTTTGAGAGGATGCAATTTAGCCCCTAATAAAGGATTAATTCATTTCCTTGTTATGCCTCTCCATTTGGTTTTGGTCTTCAGCCACTTACTGAGGGGTCATTTGACCTGTTCTTTTTAAGGAAGCTTCTGGGTCATTTGCACACCTGGGTCTAAAAATAGCAACTGAGTCTGGTATTCTTTTTTTTACCCACGGATATGCTTAATGATTTGACGGGGGTGGGGTGGGGTGGGGTGGGGTGGGGGGTGCATGGAGGGAAAAGACAGAGAGAGAGAAACATCAATTGGTTGCTTTTTGTACATGCTCTGACTGGGGATCAGACTCACAACCTAGGTATGTGCCCTGACTTGGAACTGAAACCGCAACATTTTGGGATATGGGATGATACTCCAAACAACTGAACCACCTGGCCAGGGCGAGTCTCTAGCCATTAATCAGAAACATATTCTTGCTTTAAATCAGTTCTTGCCTGTGGAGGAAATAATAGCAGGGAGGGGAGGCTTCTAGAACCACCTCTGCTACTAAACTTGCCTTGCAACTTTGGAGAAATTCCTGTCCCTCTTGGAGTGTTGGCCTAGATCAGGGTTTTAAGCTTAAATGTCCACGGAAGCTGAACAGGAGCAGTAAGTGGAGACGCAGGGAGATGTGGCAAAATGAGTGGTGGGAACCCTGTAAAGTAGAGGAACAGCCCACTTAAATGAAGCAGACAGTTTTTCCTCCAAAAACTAAGGGACAAAGGAAATATATCTGAAGACCAGGTCTGGACCAGCTGATATCTCAGGACTTTTCTTTCCTAATGGTGCTCTGGCCAAACAAAAGATGCTACTGTTGACCGACAGGCACTAAAAAGGAAGGGACATATTGTAGTTTATGCAGCCTACAGACCCATGCTGACAGGCAAACTCAAGGGGTGAGTTTTTCATGTCTATGCTTGTTTCTGCAGACGGTAACCCAGTTATTTATTTGGCTGTGGCTTTCCTACTGGGAATGTGAAGCAGGGCCCTGAGGACGGCATCACGATTAAGTGAGGCTGGGTTATTATGGGTCAAAATGGCTTGGAAACAAATCGAGTCAAGTTTTATTGACGTATTCTATGGGTCTCTTGTCAAATAGTATTATCGTACTTCTGGAACTGAGGGACAGGACGCTGAACTGTGCTTGAATATCAAAACTGTTTGTGAGGCGGCTTCCCCTCAGTCAATATTCTCATGGAAAGATTAATTCTAGCTTAAGCCAATTTTTACATTCAAATTTCAAGGAAGGCCCTAGTAAATGAGATTTTGCTCCTATTTTATGGGCATTTGTTGGGACCTTCTTTAAATAGCAAAGAAGTTTCATGGGTCAAGCCTGATGGATTGGTAGTAGCTTCCCGGAACTGGAAGCTATTCCAGGGTCTTCCCCAATAGCTGTCCTGGGGAAGACCCTGAGACCAGACCCCGGTCCAGTAGAGAATGTGCTGTGGTATTAGCCTTGTCTGTCCTGAGTATGGTGGTTTGTATTTACCAGTATCCTTATAGTCTCAAGTGACTGAAACTAATCTCAGGCAGGAAAAATCGTTGGCTCGCAGAATCCAGGACAAGACATTGACAAGAGAGGTAGAGATGCAAAGGGGTCTCAGAACAATACGAACCAACCATGGGAATGCCTCTGAGATGCCCTCTGCCCCTCAGTTCCTCATGTCTGCCCATCAGTTTCCCTCTCTCGTGCAGAGCAGTCATCTCCGCATGACAGTCCCTTAGATGTATGCTTCGAGCCTTCTGCCAGAGACTGCCTGTACACTCTTCAGGAACAAGCACAGACACAAACAGATTTGGGAGGGGAACTATGAGTAGCCCGGTCTGGATTTAAAAATTGTAAGGAGTGACTGCTCAACCCTAGACCAATCAACTTTGGGCAGGGGCTGGAATCATCTAAAAATATAGTAGCTTTCATGAGAACTACACAGTTGTCTCGCAAGAAGAGAGGTCTCCAGAGCAAGGCTGGTGTGGAGTACAGGACTTTCCAAGGGTGGGTTTCTACCACAAAGGGGCTGGTCACATGGCTGCCAACCTGAGTTTGAATTCCAGGGGGTGAAAGAGAAGAAGACCCTCAGGAATGTGTACCTACCTCAGCTAGTAGCTATAATCCCTCCCCATAATCTCTACCTTGTAGTTCCCGAGCTGGGAAGAGAAATCCTAAATCCTAAACCAGTAAATTGTACCTTCCAAATACGGGTCACCTGGAACAAAGCTCTAGCCATTAATCAGGAACCTGCCTTCATCTCATGGAGGAAACTGCTGCTCCATGAGCAACCTATTAGCCATTTCTTCGCAAGGCAGGTGGCGACCTGAGAATTCCATGCCTGCTTCCTGAGGACTGGTCCCCCTGCGGTGGCTGATGAGGTTCCAGATCCTTTAGGCTTCCTATAAATCCTACCAGGGCTTCCACCCTGCTCCTCGCCCCTTGTGCTGCCAGTCTTTATCAGCAACTGGAGCCCTGAGATGGAGTAACCATGATATACCCTAGGAATTTAACTTTGTGAGTGATGTAGTGGACTACTGGACTGAAATGGAGAAGGTGAGGAGGCACCTGTGATGGGGGTGAGGCCAGGAATGGCCTCCCTGGCTCATCTTGCTCCTAGCAAGTTGAGGGCCACAGAACAAATACAGCTTCTGCCTCAGCTTACCAATATCGTGGGAAAAACTTATATTTGGGTGTTCAATTCTCAGCCTGGGCACTTCTTCACTTCGTTGAGCCTTGGCAGTTTTATCTATGAAATGGGGATAATCTCATTTAAGAAACAAGATAGCAGATAAAAGTATCTGGTACACAGTCAAATAATTGTGACCAAATGCAAAGCTCTAATCACAAGGCCAGTCAGTTGATACTAGTCTGAATTCTGAGCTTCCACTAATGGGACTGTGAGTCTAACTAGAATTCATCACATCAAACTTGGACCTAACTTCAGGCTATACCCAGAGGGAGGGGACAGACCACCTGACTGCACACAGGAGCACCTGACACATAGAGCTAAGTCATGTCATCCATCTTCCTATGAGGACAACAAGTCCAGCTGAATCCCCCCATCCACTTGCATGTGGCATTAGACCCTACACAGAGAAACCAGTTCCTGTAGCTTCTGGAGTTTACATGTCTCTTCAGAAAAAAACAAGCACTTATGGTCCCCCCCCCAACAGACCAAAAGAGAAGCAGTGATGCCACCAGGGGCTGGGGTAGGCAGTGGGTAGTGTCCAGCTACTTAGTCCAGCTGATGATGTTCACAGTGTGAAAAGTTACCCAACATTATCTTTGTACAAAGAGAGAATTCACCTGCGATGAACTAAGAGAGTTGATAGAATTTTTTAGTTTCCCATGAACATGCATTCATGTGTTAAGATTCAAGGCTTATGTGCCCTTCATGGAGGCTTTCTTCTACCTCTTTCTTTTTCCTTTCTCTGAATTTTCATAACAACTCCAAGGAAAAGAAAGCCTTTGGTTATGAAGAGCATTCTTCATAAGCCATGTCAAGCACTTTGCATTCATTGGTCTGATTACATTGGCACTTTTATTATTCCCATTTCCCAAATGAGAAAATTGAGGCTCAAAGAGTTTTAAATAATCTACGGAAATCACTTACTTAATAAGTAAAGGAGCAGAATTTGGGTCTAGGCTGTCTGATTCTAAAATCCGAGATGTGACCTGGTTCACAATCTGATGACACCTTAACATCTCTTCCCTCAAACTGTGAAATGACTTTCATTTCTGCCCAGACCAGAAATCTAATGAAGACCTTTTGGACTGTGAGATGGCTTCACACCTCACCTCGTAAAACCTTAAATTTCAAATCCAGCTTAAGGTTATGTTTTATCTTCTCAAAAGCAGCTATATATCAATATCACTATATCAGACTAATTCTTAGCACAAAAATACATAACTGCTTAACCAATATCTTCTTCAAGGTGCAAGAATCGGGGTCTAACACACTATCTGGATTCTGAGCAACAATTGTTTTCTATTTTTTTTAAGATTTTATTTATTTATCTTTAGAGGGGAAGGGGGGGAGAGAGGGAGAGAAATATCAATGTATGGTTGCCTCTCATGCATCCCCCGCTGGGAACTGGCCTGCAACCCAGGCATGTGCCCTGACTTTTTGTTCTCAGGCCCGCACTCAATCCACTGAGCTGTACCAGCCAGGGATGTTTTCTATTTTGATATGCCAGCTTGTCCATCATTTTTAAAACTCCTACAGAAATGTTATATACTATGCTCTTCTTATATAAGCAATACACTGCTTGTCATAAATACTTATTATTATTTTTTAATCATCTGGCAAGAAGTTTTTTCATAGTGCTGATTTTTTATAGATATAAAAACACACATATGTATATGCACATATATTAATCTTATCTCAGATGAGACACACTCTTTTGTTCCAGTCTTCTGAGTCAAATGTAGTGGGATCATGTTTGTGTACCTGTGGGAAAACAATTGCTGGAAAAATATACACTAAACCATTTTCAGTGCTAATGTCAGGGAGTAAAAGTGTGATGAGAAATTTGAAGAATCGTTTTTGTTTATAAGAACTTTTTCTGCTCATGTTTCTGTATTTTGCATTGCCTCAATCTTTACTCTGAATATGTTTTGTTTGGGGAATAAAAAAGTGTGTGTGTGTGTATGTATGTGTGTTTTTAAAAAGCTCATTCTAGAAAACTTGAGGGAAATAAGACAGGCAATTTAAAGAAGAAAATAAAAATTATCCATATACATTTAAAACCACTTGTGTATGTGCATATATATGTGTCTTGTTTACCATTGTATACTTCTGGTCTAACAACAGTACCTGAGAAATCATGAGAACTTAGTAATATTGAATGAACAAGTGAATAACTATTTTTATTTATTTACTTATTTATTTATTTATTTATTTTAATTATTATTCTATTACAGTTGTCCCATTTTCCCCCTTTGCCCTAATCTGCCCAACCTAACCCCCCACTCCCACAGTCAATTCCCACACTGTTGTCCGTGTCCGTGGGTCATTCATACGTGTTCTTTGTCTAGTCCCTTCCCCTTCTTTCCACCATTATCCCCCTCTCCCCTCCCCTAAGTGAATAATAATTATTGAATTTCAATTAAAATATAAATATAGTCTTGCTTTTATAAATTGCTATTATCTTATTAACATTTTATTGCAAAGAATCTGAATTTTTATTTGTTTTATTCTATAATTTTATAGACAGATACTGTCTACAGAGAGTTGGATACTGTTATTTTTTTAATGCATTCTGTCAATCTTTGTCTTTTGATTGGGAAATTTAGTTCACTTATATTTAAAATAATTACTGACAGGAAAGGACTTAATATTAATGCCATAGCTTTTATTTTTGTCCCTCATTTTCTTTTTTTACATCTTTCTTTTGTGTTTAGTTGATTTTTTTGGTAGTGATATATTTTGATTTTATTCCCATTTCCTTCTGTGTGTATTGTGTATATTACATATGATATCTTAAAGTCTAACAGTCTAAACTAATAACAATGTAACTTCAGTTGCATACAAAAACCTCATTCCTTTCTAGGGACATCTCGCCCCCCTTGAAAGTTGCAAACGAGTTTCACTCTTTTCCTTCCGTCCAAAGGAGAGGCTGGCAGTCGGGTGGCTTTCTCCCAACCAGGCAGCACCATGGTCAGAGAAGGGGTGGTGCAAAAGTGAGCAAAAACATCACAGAATGTCCTGCCATTCTGAGTATGGCCTTAATTATTTGGGCATTTGTTGACTGCTGCAGATCCTTGGCTGTTTCGAGAGCTCCCACAAGGCTACTTTAGTCTGTTTTCACTTGATGTTTCTCTGAAGGAATGGGGGGCCTGGAGCTTCCTGGTCGGCTTCTTGTAAATTTCACCTTTAGAGGTAACTTAATTTTAAAAATAAATTCTCCCAAATATTCAGAACTTCAATCAGTCTCTTTTACTGTATAGCAATGATAATAATAGTAATATTTATTGAGCACCTACTTGTGCCGTACACTGTTATATACACTTTACTCATTTAAATAACTCACTTAGACATTACTACTTTCTGTGTAATATTTCTGTTCCCACTTTATAGGTGAGAAAACTGAAGCACAAAGAGGAACCCCCTGTCTATATGGAACTAAAGCAGACACATGGGAGGATGGAGCTTTAAATCTTCAGTTGGTGACATGAAGAATATCCACGGTTTTATGTGACTTGAGAGGAGGTGGCTACAGCAGACCAAAAGTTGGCTGGATCACACCTCACCCCTAACTCCTCTTGGCTATCTAAGTGATTTAAAGTGGGGTCTCAGTCCCTGAGCTATATTCTCAATGGAATGTGACACTATGACAGTGGGTTGGGGGGAAAAGCACCCTTTTCCTTTGGAGCAGGAGGTAACATATAGTGTGTGACCTGGACCAGGAAGGCAAAAGAGGCCCAAACCCAGTCCTGTGGTGGGTGAATGGGCAAGGAGACCAAGTAAAGTGGAGGTTCAGAGAGGTGACCAACTCAACCTGCTGTGCAGCCAACGTCCTCACACAGGCCTGTAGCCTCCAGCAGGGAGACCGGCCAGCCTGGATGCTGCCTCAAGTACCTGAGTGGTGGCTCGTGCGTGGCCCTGGGCTGCATACGAACAGGTCAGCCACTCAGAGAGACCTCTAGAGACCTCAGGAACATCCCAGAGCCAATTGGTTCTGGGACATTAGGTGCTTTTTAACCCCCTACATTCTTTCTTCTTCTCAGTCTTTTTCTCAGACTCCTTCAAATATTTTTTACTCCTTCTCACTCACTCTCTGCCTCACACTCACATGTGCTCAAATGCAATGTCGTAGTTCTCTTTCATTCTCACACACACACACACACACTGTGCAACTTTCTCTTGCACAGTCTCAGGTTTTATTACTTTTTAAAGAGTCATCAATTGTTAACCATTAGCCATATTCGAGCTCCCCACCCCCAACTGAGATATTTAAGAATCAGTTGCCACCACTGTGACACCCATAAATGCCATATAAAAACCCTTAAACACTGGGTCCCAGACACTTCCTTCACATAATCACAAGTGACTCCTTGCACAAGAAGTCTGACATTGATACAATATAGTTATCTGATACCCATTGTCAAAGTTCCTCAATTGTGTTAATAATGTCCTTGAGAGCCATTTCTTTAAGTCCAAAATCCAACTGAGGATCATTGCATTTAGCTATCATGTCTCCCCAGTCTGGCTCCCTAGCCTTTTCTTCATGACGATGACATTTTTGAAGTGTCTAAGTCAGTTGCTTTGCAGGAGATCCATCCAAATTTGTATTTCTGACTCTTGCTTTATGATTATATTCATGGTCAACATTTTTAGCAGGAGCACTGGGAGGACACTGTTGTGTCTTTTTCAGTGCATCACATTGGGGGTGCATGAAGTTGTTTTGTCCTTTCGTCACTGATACTGTCTTATCTCATTAGAAAGGTGGTATTCATCATTGCAGAGACATCTCTCCCCTTCGTAATTAGTGAGTAGTAATCTGTGGTGTCATACTTACGGGACTGAGTGAATATCCTGTTCTGACTGCCTTTCACCCTGTGGTTTGAGTGTCCACTGCTGATTCTTGTCTGAGTCGAATCTTATTATGGTGGTTTTACATGGGGATTTTTTGTTTGTATCCCCCCCTCTATATTTATCAGTTAGCATTCTTCTGTAGGGACCTATCTGGTTAAGTTAGCATCAGCGCAGGACTCATGGATTCTTTCTGCAATCGCTTCAGATGAAGCACACATTGTTGCAGGGCCGCACTGCAATCTGCTCCTGCTCTCGGTTGTATACTCTTTCTCTCTCACAAATAAAATAGTTGATCAATCCATCAAGGTTACTTGGAGTAAAAAATGACAACAGAAGCCTTGGCTGGTGTGGCTCAGTGGACTGAGCATTGACCTATGAACCTAAGGGTCACTGGTTCGATTCCTGGTCAGGGCACATGCCTGGGTTGTGGGCCAGTTTCCAGGTTGGGGGGATGCAGGAGGCAACCTGTTGATGTTTCTTTGCCTCTTTTTTCTCTCTCTCTAAAAATAAGTAAATAAAGTCTTTTAAAAAGTTAACAGCAACATCAAGGGAATATAAAGAATCCATGTCATCTGAAGAGCTAAGAGATGGTCCATGATAAATTGAGCCCTCTGGGATAAGCATAATTAAAGAGAAGTAGAAGCAAAGGAAGGGAACACCAAGAGCGGGATAGCACCTGTAAAGTTTTATAGTCAAGAGTAGCGTATGTGAGGAATGGCCACTTACTAGGGGAGAGGTGGAGCGTGGGTACTGTCTTTAGTGTCAGAATGGGTACTGTGGCATTTTCCTGGAGAGAGGGCACAGGTGTTAGGGAAGACAAGAAATGCGAAGGGGGAAAGTCAATGCTCTGTGGGACTTAAGCAGGGAATCATATGGAAGATTCAGGGCAAGATATCTGGTGGAGAGATTAGAATCCAATAGGTGCCCACAAAGGCTTGAACTGACTTTTGGTGATAGAATGGAAAGGAAGGGAAGAAAGTGCAAGGGACAATGTGTTTACATTTGGATAGAGGAACGAAGTAAAGAGAGGGACTTCACAGTGACACAGGGACTGGCAGAGGAGGAAGCGGGGAGAGAAAAGTGGGGTCAGGAATGAAGGTAGACTTGATGTCAGACACTGGCCTACTTGCGTCTGTATTCCCAGATCCCACGTAAACCTGTGCAGAGTAGGGGCCACCTGCCTACTGGCTGCATCCATCTTGAGGAGAAAAGTTCAGGGCAAGCTTTTCAAATTTGAATGTGCTTGGGAATCACATGGGGATCTTGTTAAAATGCAGATTCTGATTTCACAGGTTTGGGGTGAGGCTGGGATTTCATATCATGACCAAATATGCCCTTGCCCCAGAGGTGGACTCTGTGGCTTCTTCTAAGTGTCCTGCTCTGAAAACCAAGCTCCTGGTGTCTGACCACAGCTGCAGAGGGTGGCTGGACTTCCGATCTCGATTCAGTGAGTTTGCAGTCTGATGAACGTGCTCTCTGAGGAACAGTGGAAGAAGGCCATCCACTCCCAAGTGCTGGTAGACAAGCAACTGGTGGCAGGAAACTCACCAGGTCTGACTTCAGAAAACTCTTCCCAGCTATGTCACTGACTTGCTGTGTGATCCTGGGCTAGTTACTTCCCCTCTCTTAGCAAAGGTTGCTTTATATGCAATATAAGGACATTGCACTTCTATGCTTCTCTCACTAAAGTATGATCACCCCTGAGACTGTACAAAGGAAATGTGTAAAGTCAGAGTGTGTTGAAATACGCTGTACTGTGTTTCACCTTTCTTGCAGGTGGGGAATCCAAAATATCACTCTTTTTTTTTAGAGTGAAAGGGAGGGAGGGCCCAAAAGAGGGAGAGAAACATCAATGTGTGGTTGCCTCTTGAGCGCCCCCTGCTGGGGAAACTGGCCCACAAGCCAGGTATGTGCCCTGACTGGGAATTGAACTGGCAACGGTTTGGTTCACAGACCAGCACTTAATCCACTGAGCCACACCAGCCAGGGTAAAATATTATTCTCATATAATCATATATATGAATAAGTTGAATGAGAGATTAAAATGAAACTTCAAGGTGAAACTTGAATGAAAAATTGAGGTTGTGGCTGGCAGGGAGTTTTGGGAGCAACTCTTTTGATGGTACCATTAGGGACACCTCGCAAGAAAAGTTAGGAAAATGTTGGGGGTAAGAAAGACACCCCTTCCACCTCCAAAACTCTCACTCTGTAAAGCCTTCAGGCATTTTTTGTATCATACACACTATGCGTAAGAAACGCCCAAACCTGTAGAGAAGTTTTATTAGAGTTTATTTGAGCCACACTGACCCCATATGCCAGGGAGCAAGATCTCAAATGCTCCAGAGAATATCAGTTTTGCAGCTTCTTTGATGCATCTGAAATTAAGGAGGGGACTTAAAGAGTACAGGAAGGGGGGAGCAAGCCAGGTGGTGATCTGATTACAGGATAGGTAAAATTATATACTGTCTTGAGGGTTGATACCCCCTTCAAGGAGTATTACTTTCTGGATTTCAAGGTCGTGTTAACCCAGATGCACAAGAATAATGGACAGGGCTGGCTTAAAGCCTTTTACTGAAGAAGTGATATGCCAGGTCGTGACTATACTTACCAGGAAGTGATATACACTCACTGTGACCTGCCCAGTCAGGAATTTATGACCAGATCACCCAGTGAGGTTAGTTCCACAGAAACTCTTTTATCCATCTGCAACACGAACCATGCTGCGTTTATTTTTTCTCTTTCTTTTATTTTACTGAGGTAACATTGAATATTCTATTATGACATTTCATTGGGTTTGTCTTCTTGAAGTAACCCTTCCGTTTTTAAAGTAGAAAGCTACTTCAACCCCAAAGGGCTAACATGGCAACAAAGTCACATCTTATGCTAGATACTGAAGTCGGAGAGTTAGCTCTGCCCCTCTTGGGAGCGCATGGGCGTCTTTCCGTTGTCCTCCCCTCGCCCCCAGGAGCGTTACCTTAGCCTTTCTGTCTCCTAAGCTCCAAGGGCCCTCCTTCTGCCTCTGTGACTTGTTTCTTGAGCTCACACAGCTAGCCGGCTCACTTCTACCTCTGTCACTTGCTAAATAAACTTTCTCTTATACCTTGAAAAATACATCTCAAAAAAGCTGGATAATTAAATTTTAAAAGCTTAAATAAATAATGCTGTTTAAAAATCCCTTAAATTGCCCAGAGTCAGGATGGCAGCATTTCTCAGCAAGAGCCAGTGTTTCCTCCAGCATTGGGTTTATCCACCTGCAGTTCATCTGAACACCACAGGAAGCGGGCGCCGTCAATCATCGCAGGCCCAGGAGACTCTGAAGTTCGGATGCTCCCAAGCATCAAGGCTGACTGAGGGAACTGCTGATTTCATCTGCGGTCTCAAGTGTACACCAGGGCAGATACACACATATATTCCTCACTCTCCTTCACTTTCTTTTCCCACCCGTCATCACCAAGGTTATGGTGTTAAATTTCTGTAAAGCTAGTTTGTGTGAAAAACAAGCTCAGCAGTGTGATTTAGAGCACAGTTCATAGATCAGACTGGGTTTGAACCCTGGCTCTGCCACTTGCTAGCTGTAAGTATTCAGGCAAAGTCACTCAGCCTCTCTGAGCCCCAGGGTCCTCATTTGCAAAGTGGGTACAACAAAGTGTGAATACTCGCCTTGTAGGATTGCTCTGAAGATTGGATGAGTTCTTATCTGTCTATCATTTAGAGTAGTGGTCCCCAACCTTTTTGGCACTGAGGGGACTCATTTTGTGAAAGACAATTTTTCCACAGAAGGGGGATGGGGGTAGCTTTATAGCCTGCCACGAGATGTAGCTTAATTATCACTTGCCGCTCACTGATAGGGTTTTAATATGAGTTTGCAAGCAGTTGATATATTATGGTCTCTCTGCAGTCAAACCCCTCTGCTAATGATTATCTGTATTTGCAGCCACTCCCTTGAGCCTCAGGTTGATTCTTTTGTTTACCTTGAGGTTGGGATCTGGGAGACGTGACTTCTCTCCTTTTCTATTGAATCCCTGGGTAGATCAGCATCTTCAGATCACACCTGTATTAAGTCAAAGACCACAGACCCAGTGGTCACAGACTCAGTGGGACCACAGGCTTCCCCAAGATGGCAAAACACAACCATGGACTTGCCTTACAATCCTCCTTACCTTCATGGTAGGAAAGAGGGCACCGACTTGGAGGCTGGGTCACAATTTGGGGCAAGGTGTGTGTGTGTGTGTGTGTATCTTTGGGTTGGGAAAGGTGTTCTAAGTAGAACTAGGTCCATCCCGCTTCTCCCTACTGTTCTCTTTGGTTCAGACCACTGAGGGTCTAAGAGAGGAAGGCCTGGACTCCTAGTGTTTGTTGACAGAAACTTTCAAATGGCAAAGAAGGTCCAGCCTGAGCACCTTCATAGAAGGTGTGGAGGAAACGTGGGTGGAGGCAGCAGGCATTCTGCAAGCCACGCAGGTGACAAGCCATTGTGTGTTTTACACTGGTTCCAGGATTTGGTGGGGGGAAGGCAGAATGTTCTAGCCATGTGAGCAGAGGTGACAGAACCTCTTTTCTCCCTCATTATAAGCCAATCAGACTTGGAGTTTTCCAGACATGAGCTGTTAGGAGAAGTAATACCTGGAATCACACCACTGCCTTTAACTTAAATAATTGTAGAGGCTGAAGCTATAGCCTTGGGTTCATCATTTAATCATTTTAAGCCAAACCTCTTCTCCCTCTTCCCTCCTCCTCCCCTAATTAATAATATTCAGACAAGACCAAGTTCTATACATTTTCTATCTTATTAACCAGACCAACGGGCAGAGGAGGTGTCTTGTGGACACTGAGTATCTGTGCTGGTGATGGCACTTGAACAGGAAAACCCTGGAGGAACAGAGGTGGGAAGGGAGGGCTGTCTGCATGGTCAGAATAACACAAGCTAAGGCACAAGTAGCATTCACAGAACTGCAGAGATTGCGAAGAGCTGCTGCTCAGAGTGTCAGGCGAGGGACAAACAGGCAGAGCTAAGAAAGTGAGCTAGGCCCAGATTATACGGGGTTGTATGGGCTTTGGTGTAGAGATTGGAGTTTATTGGGAAAACAATGGGGAGGTATTGAAAAGTTTTTAGAAGGAAGAGACCTGATTAGATTTGTATTTTGAAAAAGCCACTGAATCTTTTCAAAAGAGGAGATGGAGAATGGGTTGGAAAAAACAGACTTAGAAAGACCGGTTAGAGGGTCTTAGAATATTTTAGGTGCCGGAGGTGGGTGGCTTGGACAAGGTGCTGGAGACATGAAGGAAGTTAACACATTTGAGATGTTAGGAGACAGAACAGGCAGCGTGTGCTGGCTGGATGTGGAAGATACCAGCAGGGGAGTCAAGGTGGACTTCCAGGTTTCAGGCCTGGACAGTGATTGTATTCATTGAAATACAGAGAAAAACACTGGTGAAAAATTAGTCCAGGGAGGCAGGAGAGATTAGGATTCTCTGGGTTTGAGGTGCCTGGGAGACATTTCACATTAGATGTTCAGTGGATAGCTGGGGCCAAAGCTCAGAGCAGAGGTCCCCCTGGCTGGTAAACTCCTGTGGGTGTGCACACATCCCTAAGGGAAATGGACTGCGTGGGTGTGAATGGTTCTCCAGGCCCCTCCCTACTAGTGGAAAGGCTCCTCAAAGCCATAGCCTACTAAGGGGAGAGTCGAGTTGTGTTTTTCTCAAGGACCTATGCACTCAGAGGTCCCTCAGAAGAAGAGTAGGGTAGAGAAATGCTTCAGACACAGCTGAGAAGCCTCTGGATTTGATTTTTCTTCTTTCCACCTACTAGATGTTTCTGTTATGTTTTGATGCTGTTCTTAGAAAGGCTCATCCTTTATTACCCGCAAATGGCTGCTGACATTGTCCAAGCCTATACCAGTAACAGATTCGAATCCAGAAAAAGAGCAATAGATTTAATCCAATATTCCTAGCTTTAAGTATTATTATAATTGAACCTGTTGAAATTGCATGTGACCAGGAAATAAGACTTGGCGTACCTTTGGGACCTGGGGTGGGAGTAGTCTGCAACCCCATACAAACCACAGAGGGAATGGAGGGGGAGGGGGGACACGGTCTGAAACCCAGGTTCCCCACCCCCTGATCATGTCCTCCCATGGTTACAAAGCTGAGGCCACTGCGTTGTGGAGTTGGCGGGGAATTAATGTAGCTGAAGACGTGTGATGTCTTCTGGTGCCTATCAGATCCAGGCTGGATTGTAGCTGCTTTGGGTGTCTGTTTGAAGCATGGGCATCAGGGTCTACGGCCTTCATCCATCATCTGTCCCTGTTTGACCTTAAGGTCGTTGTACAGGTACGAAGGCTACCAGTATCAAGAAACTCCCAGAAGAAACTCACATTTCAAGCTCAAAAGCTGCACCCTGCTGATAAATAGTTTATATAACAAAGAAGTCCATTAGTTAATATAACCCTGGTTCTGGGTTTCTCAAATTGTGAGGCACCGAATCAGTCATTGTATCAGAATTACCTGGAATATACACTTTGAAAAATTAAAGCAACTCCTGCAGAGCCAGGTAGCTGGTGCGTGTGTGTGTGAGAGAGAGAGAAAAATGAAATGTTTAAAAACAGTGCTCTTAGAATATGATGGTTCTAGTTTCTTCTCACACATTTGACATTTATTAGTGGTCTAATTGCCTCTCTGAATCTTAATCTCCTCCTTTGTAAGATGGGACTTTTAATAGTTACTCCCTCATGAAATTGTTGGGAATATTGAGATGATAAAGACAAAGTGTGTAAAGTGCTTAGCCCTGAGGCCTGCACCTAAAAACACTCAGTAACTGGTTACAGTTGCTGTTATTGTGCATACACCTAGGTGACAATTAAACTTGCCTGCATAAAACCCTTCAAATTACTTCTCTGCTCGTGAAAACTGTTGTTTGTGTCTCCACTCACTACAGCCTTGCTTTGCTTCAGCAGATCTGCCTCTCCACTTCTGAAAGTTCAAGCACCTCCTCACGCCGCTGTGGGTCCTGTTCTTCCCCAGGCTCTTCTATTGGAGCCCTTCTCTACTCCTCTGTAATCCAACACGTCTTTCCTCCTGTATTATCAGTCTCTCATTTTCATCAACTCTACTCTCTCAGTCCATAAACACATTCATATTCATAAACACAGTGATGTTGGTTAAGCTGAATTGGCGTGGTCAGTGCAATGACATTTAATTTTACTGCACATGACATTTATTTTGCAAAGATGTCCTCACATATGCCCGTATATGCTCTCCCATTTCATATGTTCTCGTGACAATACGTTGTCTCTCCTCCATTGAGATTTGCTTGCTTTTTTTACCTTTTCTTTTTATTGAGGTGAAATATATATAACATAAAATGTACCCTCTTCACCATTTGGGGGCATACAGTCTGTGGCACTGAGTAAATTCACAATATTATGCAACCATTATAACTATGCATGTGTAGAAAATGTTCCCCATGCCAAACAGAAACTCTGTTCTCATTAAACACTAACTACCTATGCCTCACCTTCCCAACTTTTTGTAACCTTTCATATACTTTTTATCTGTAAGAATTTGTGTATTTTAGGTTCCTCTATTAAGTAGAATCATACGACATTTGTCTGGCTGTTTCATTTAGCACAATGTTTTTAAGGCTCGCTCCTGTTGTGGCATGTAACAAAATGTCATTTCTATTAAGGCTTAATAATATTCCACTGTGTGTGTACACACACACACACACACACCACATTTTGTTTACCCTTTAATCTCTTGATGGACATTTGAATTGTTTTCACCTTTTGACAATTGTGAATAATGCTGCACTTTGGGGGTGTTTATACCCAGATGTGGAATTGCTTGATCACACAGTAATTCTATATTTAAAAATTTGAGGAACTGCTAAAATGTTTTCTACCTGTTGGATGACTACATGGGATGGTGGTAGAGATGGGAAGCTGGCTTTAACTCAGCCCCGGCTTGCTCAGCCTCCAGAGCAGAGGACTTTCTCAGCTGGTAGGTCAGCTGCTTTTGTCTCTTTGCCATCTGATGGTTTAGGGTTTTCTGGGTGTCTGTGTAAGTAGCTAAAGTTGCAGCAGTATCAACACTGAGGTGGCTGCTGACCTTGGGTTTTATCACCTTTATTTTCTATTTCTCCTTCATTGCTGTCCTCTCTAGGCTGTTTTTGGTGAGGACGGTCCCTACAAAACTGCGGTCTATGGCCCTGGCACATACTCTGTCTCACTGATGTACCTTGTTCCCCAGCACCTTGGTTGTCAGTACCCTCTGTTACCTCTCCCTGCACAGGAGGGTTGGAAAACTGTGGTTGACACTCACAGGGTCTTCACGTGTGGTGAGGTGGGAATCGTTGCCTGCTGTAGGGTCAGTGCTGTTGGGCCTGGTCTTTGGAAGCGCTCTCTGATGCCTCATTCTTTTCCCACTCTCCCTATTCTGGTCATTCTATTGGTAATTGCATGGAAGCCCTCTGTGATGTGGTTAGCATCTGCAATGGCTAGTCTTCGCATACTTGCTGCTTTACACTGGAACTCCACCAGGGCCTGTAACATTTGCTACCTCTGTAGCCTTTTCTTCTTTAACAACAGCAAACTCCATAGTATCTCCATCTTCTACTCTATGAAGATACTTTCTGGAGTTATTCTTGTTTATGGCAGTCTTGTGGACAAATACATCTTCCTTGGTGTAATTCCTGTTGATGAAACTATATCTGTTTCTCACACTGAGCCACTTTACTGTTCCTAAAAACTTCATTGCAGTGACCTTCTTGTCCCACTGGCAGATGCCATCGATGTGCGATTGATGTCAGGCTGCCCGGGCTGCCTGCTTCCTGTGGTGCTAGGCTTGTCATCTGCAGCACTGAGGGTGGGGGTGGCATGAGAGTGGGAGGGAGAGGTGGGGTTAAGGTGGCAGATGACTAATGGGCCATGACCTCACTGCTCATGGCTGTGATGGTGACTGGGGCCTGCTGCCGTAGCTGTGGCTCATCCCTGGATGTGAATGTAACTAGCCCAGCAGCAATGGTGGGGCTACTCATAGCTCTCTGGGGTCCCGTATTCACTCCCACTACAGATCGAACTTCCTTTCCTCTGTTGATGAACACAGATTGCTCCCATATCTTGACTGTTGTAAATAATGCTGCAGTGAACATAGGGATGCACGTGTCTTTTCAATTTTGTCTTTTGGGTTCCTTGAAATAAATACTGAAAGTGAAATTGTTTGGTCCTTCTTTGTCTTTTGTTATGTAGACTTGTTTTAAAGTCTGTTTTCTCTGGGATAATTATATCTATCAAAGCTTTTTGTTCATCTGTTTCCATTTTTATGAAATATCTTTTTTCCATCCTTTTACTTTCAGTCTCTGTGTTTTTCAGCCTGAGGTGAGTCTCTTGTAGACAGCATATGTAAGGGTCTTGTTCTGTTATCCATTCAGCCTCCTCTGTCTTTTTTAAAAATACATTTTATTGATTATGCTATTACAGTTGTTCCATTCCCCCCTTCACTCCCCTCGCCCCTCCCCCCTCCTCCTCCACCATTCCCACTCTTTACTTTATGCCTGTGAGTCATACATATAAGTTCTTTGGCTTCCACATTTCCCATACTATTCTTAACCTCCCTCTTTCTATTTTCTACCTACCGTCTATGCTACTTATTCTCTGTACCTTTCCCCCTCTCTCCTCCACCCACTCCCCTGTTGCTAACCCTCCATGTGATCTTCATTTCTGCAGTTCTGTTCCTGTTCTAGTTGTTTGCTTAGTTTGCTTTTGTTTTTGTTTCAGGTGTGGTTGTTAATGATTGTGAGTTTGCTGTCATCTCACTGTTCATATTTTTATCTTCTTTCTTTTTAGATAAGTCTCTAACATTTCATATAATAAGGGCTTGGTGATGATGAATTCCTTGAGCTTGACCTTATCTGAGAAGCACTTTATCTGTCCTTCCATTCTAAATGAAAGCTTTGCTAGATAGAGCAATCTTGGATGTAGGTCTTTGGATTTCATGACTTGGAATACTTCTTACCAGCCCCTTCTTGCCTGCAAGGTCTCTTGAGAAATCAGCAGACAGTCTGATGGGAGCTCCTTTGTAGGTGACTGTTCCCTTATCTCTTGCTGCTTCTAGGATTCTCTCCTTCATTTTAATCTTGGGTAATGAATTATAATGTGCCTTGGTGTGTTTCTCCTTGGGTCCACCTTTTTTGAGACTCTTTGAGTTTCCTGGACTTCCTGGAAGTCTATTTCCTTTGCCAGATTGGGGCAGTTCTCTTTTATTGTTTGTTCAAATAAGTTTTCCACTTGTTGCTCTTCCTCTTTCCCTTTCCCTTCTGGTACCCCTACAATTCGGATGTTGGAATATTTAAAGATGTCCTGGAGGTTCCTAAGCTTCTCTTCATTAAAAAAAATTCTTGTTTCTTCATTCTGTTCTGGTTGGATGTTTTTCTTCTTTCTGGCCCACTCCATTAATTTGAGTCTCAGTTTCCTTCCCCTCACTATTGGTTACCTGTACATTTTTCTTTATTTCACTCAGTGTAGCCTTCACTTTTTCATCTAATTTGTGACCAAATTCAACCAGTTCTGTGAGCATCCTGATTACCAGTGTTTTGAACTGTGCATCTGATAGGTTGGCTACCTCTTTGACACTTAGTTGTATTTGTTCTGGAGCTTTGAGCTGTTCTTTTGTTTGGGCCTTTTTTTTTTTTTTTTTGTCTCGATGCACCTGTTATGTAGTAGGGGGCGGAGCCTTAGGTGGTCACCAGGGTGTGGCAACCCATGTTGCTGTGTTGTGATGCTGTATGTGGGGGCGGGGTCTGAGAGGGAACAATGGTGCTTGTTCCACTCTCTGCCAGATTTCAGTCACTTCCCCCGCTTCCCACAAGCAGATTGGGCCCTTCTGGTGTTGATTCCTGGGTGATTGGTTTGTGTGCATTCTAGGACCCTGTGGGTCTCTCCAATGAACTGTCCTGTGAGGCTGGGAGTTTTTCTGGCTGCTGCCTCAACCCTCACAGGTGTTTTCAATCAGTGGTTTGAGGCTTTATTTCCCCTCACTGGGGCCCTGGATTGCAGAATCCATCCCGATCCCCAGTTGTTTCTCTCAGTTTATCTGTGCACCAATGCGGGACCACCCAGTCTGCAATGTGCTGCCTCTCTGGGTCTGCCCACTGTTGCCTTGCTGGCCAGCTGCAGTCTTGTGTGCCCCACTCCACAATCCACCACCTCACTGGGTCCTCCAGCCACTGCCTTGCTGAGTCCTCTCTGCCCGGCTGCTTGTCTCTACCACTCCTACCTGGTCTGGTGAATGTGTCTTCTTTAACTCCTTGGTTGTCAGACTTTCATACAGTTTGA